CAATAAATTTTATATATAACTCTATCCTTCAGGTTCCTCAGTAATCAAGTAATCAATACTTTTTGTCTAAACAAGCTCAGAATGTGAACATCGAATGCATTTTGTATTATTGATTCTAAAAATTGAGATATTATTTAAATAACTTAAAACTCCCATTAAATTAAATTTTATTTTAATAAAATTTTGCAAGACTGATCATAAACAAAGAATAAACATCTTAAACTGTATTTTATGAATATATCATATTTTTGTCCCGTTGGAAAATTGCTGTTTCTGAAAAATCACTTTTTTTAAACACGTGTAGAACTGTCAAATAAAATAATCTTTAATTTGGAAAAGAATATAAACTTAAGCAGGTATTTTTATTACTTTTTAATTTTTTTAAACATCCCCAAAGAACCAAGTTTACCTTAAGAAAATATTTATTTTTATTTTGCTTTATTTTTTTAACATATTATGCATTATAATGTTGTATTTTGTATTTTTGTTTTGGCGCCAAAGTTACAATAATATTTTCATAAATATGTTAATCTTCTCCTATCTTCATGATCAGCTTTTCAATCACTAACATACAGGGTGGCCCAGGAAGCATTATGGTCGGGAGAAGGATAAAGTGTTATTGGGTAAAGGTAGCCTGCGACATATAAACTTACCGGTAGTATAATAGACCAAATATTATAGACCTTAGAGCTTAGAAGTAATTTTAATTTTTTATTACAAACTTTCACATTTTCTGTTCAGAAACAGTTTATATGGGGGGAACCATTTTTTTCTTTCAAAGGATGGCTTAGCACCCCCCTGGAAACCCAATTCGCCATACGCCTCTGACTATGTTGTCCCAAAACATATCATAGCTATATGAACTTTCTCAGATTTGGAAAGAAATCAAAAACATAGAAAAAATGTTCTGGACCGAATTTCATGCTATCGTGTACATCATATATCTATGAAAAATGTTATAGTTTTTGTATAAATTAAGCCTTTAATTTAAAAAGTTGATTTTCAAATTGTATTATTTAGACTACATTTTTGTTCTATGTTTTATATGATTGTGAATGTTGTTTTAAAAAAACATTGAAAAAATAAAATATTTCTAAAATTTTACCGTATTCATTACTAACAAAATATTACTAGTATTTTCAGAAATATATATATATATATATATATAAATATGCCCGATTTACAACGGTACTTTTAAAGCATTGTCTGATCAAGTATGAATAAGATATCAATGTTTTTGTCTCTCTAAGCTGTAAATTTTCATTTGCGGTGTCTCTTTATTATAAGAGGCAATGGAGAAACTCAAAGAAAGAAGCACTTTTGGAGTCAGAAAGACGGGTTGTAGCTTCCACATTTTTGATCAGAGTAAGGTTTCAAGGATGGGAGGATTTTTGGTAATTACAGTTTCGCTAAACACTAAAGGGTTTCGTAATAAATGTCCTCATAATACATACCTAGTTAAAACTAAAAAATATATATATAAACACAAAAATAAATACATTAGATATATATATTTATATGTATTTGAGTGAAAAGATTTATTATTAGAGAAGATAGGTGCTTGATATCATTAGCTCCACACTGAGTTTTCTCAACGCTTTTCAGAGTTTTAAAGTTATATTGAATTTTTTTATACAGATTTTATAATTTCCGACCTTTTTTTATGTTTTACAAGTTCCGACCTTCTTTTATGTTTTACAAGTTCCAACCTTCTTTTATGTTTTACAAGTTACGACCTTCTTCAGGTTTGTAAATATTAATTTTTTTCTAAATTTGCCTTATCAACAGTTATTTTAACACTGGGTTCCATGATGTCCTGATTCAATCTCAAAACATCTGATTTTGAAGTAGATTTGTGGTCTCCGTTTGTGGTGTATTTCAGAGAAATTTTTAAATTCCTATAACTTTGCAACCTGACGTTGTAAATCTTTGAAATTTTCAACTTTGATTATTTGATCTATTAAAATTTACAATTTGAAATATCAAAGGTCTACTACATTGGGTTGCAAAGACAGAAGGATTAGAGTTTGGGGAAAGAACTCGTTAACACCTTTGTGTGTAAAACGCCCCTCATATTTACAGAATGTATTATTGTGTTTCTGTCAATGAAATTGTTTATCTGAACTAAATAAATATATATATAGTTTTATTACCGGCTGAACCGATCCGGTCCAATTTTTTTGTGGGACCTATCATGACCCCAGGGAAGGTTTATAGATGGTCAGAATCCAATTTCAAAAAGTCGATTAATTCGAGATTTTATTTCTGCTTATTGATAATTTAAAAGAACAACAATTAAAAGTTAAAACCGAAGATGGCCGCCTAGTAAAAGATTTATCAAAGCGAAGAAAAAACGTTG